TTGTTGGAATTATGGCATTATTCTGTATCTGAAGTCCTTTACAGTCCTGCTTCAGGTACTACAAAAAAACAGGAGTGCCTTGTGCATTGTAAATCAGATGCAAAGAACTTTGAACTTTGCTCTGAATAGGCAACTCTGTGGCATAGCATGTATAATCAGGAGACTTTCTACTGTCACCTACTGTATATAGACCTGGCTTAAAAAGAACCTTGCTTTTAAAAAGCAACTTAAACTACTATACATCACTGCGTATATCAACCCTGTAGACCACTAAAAATATTGAGGGGGATAGCTGAACTCTGTTATCAACATATTTTTTTATGTTTTGCTCAGAGCATCAGGTTACCATTGCAAGTTTGCTAGCACTCCAGATCAACTGATCACTCTGAGGAAGAGTGGGTTTGATACATTGCCATTAAATTAGACTGAATGCAACTAAATTGTTTTATCGAACCATCTTTTTGTTGGCTCCTGCTAATCAGAAAATATGAACAGCTGGTCGTTATTACTGCCCCCTGTAGGAGTCTGTGGGATTTAGGCCAATGCTCATTCTTAAGTGGATATTTGCAACAGAAAACAAAGAGATCTAAAGTTTAAATTAAAAATATTCAAGACCAATTTAGTTTTTGTTTCATCAAGCATTAATGCATTAAAAGCTTCATAATGACCTCATAAGAACAACTCAGCCTCAGGTGTAAGGCTGACCTGGGGACAGATGGGAGTAATGCTGCTCTGTGTCTAAGGTACAGTACAGTCCAGAGGTAATGTCAAGGACTGATGAACTGGTTGACTGACCTGCAGAGTCCCTTCAGTGCAGTGAAATGTAGGTACATTTGTAGAGTAGATTGGGGATGTTTTATATGACTGTGTGCAGAAAAAAAAAACAAGTTCTCCTTTGTTCCTGACGGAGGACAAAATGGAAGAACCATAAACATTACAGTCCCTGTCGGGGTTTCGTGTACAACAGGACGTACAGAGAAAACCAACATTGTCTAATTGCTGTATTATGGATCTCATCACATGTGCTGTGGAGATGAGTCTATTGATTTTGCTTTTTGTACTCTTTTTTTTTTCCCCTTCCTCCAGTGAAAGATTTTAAAGCCATCTCTGGACAGAACAAATATCTCAGCTCTCTGGATGGGGTCACCACGGTGGAAAAAGAAAAATTTCCAAAGAATTTCTGGCCTGACGTGAGTGTGCACAGCAAGCAGGAAGTTGATAGTGATCTTGGCCGTTGCTTCTAGGCTCCTGTTTAGTGGAGAGGCTTACCAGACACAGGTTGCTCCAACTTATCAGGGCATTAATGACGGAAATACAGTTAAGGTCATTATTCAGAGGCCCAACCACGTATCAATCTTCCCTCTGGTACAGTACATGGCAGATGCTCATAAGGCATTATTGACATGATGGCATGGGGTTCCTGAAGTCCTCTTGATTTTCTGAACAAATCGCTTATCCATGGTTCCATCTTTGAACTTGTAAAAACAATAGTCACAGCAAGGTACCAGTTTCACTGTGAAGAAATTGGGGCATGACAACGCCGAGGCGTAGGTCTCTTGTAAAGGTGCATTAGCAGCACGAGGGACCTGAAATCTGCCTGGGCTGTGGGATCAGTGCCTCATGTTTTACCAAGCTCAGTGGGGTGTTATTGTACAAAATCACATCTGTGCAGAGTCGGTAATTATACTGCCTCGCTGCATTGCCTGCTTTCACACAATGAAATACTGTAATTGTGCCATTGTCATTGCAGTTGCCATCAAAAGAAGTTAAAAAAACTCAAACAGCTATATTTAACAGCAAATACTGTAGCTCCTTAGTCACAACCATGAATCACAGACCACGATCGGTGTGGAAATCTAGCTCATCTGCTAATGCTTAAGAAAAGATCTTAAAAGATCTTTGAATTACTAAAAAAAAACAAATATTAACAACAAATTAGGTGGTTTCCAATACAGGGAGTATGAGAATGTACTTATTTCTTGAGTAACATTAAGAGTTTAGTTTTTTTTTTTATTGCATTTCAGTTCAAGTGGTCCAGGAAAGGCTACATGAGAACTCGCTGGATTATTCACAATCAGTAAGTTATTAATGCTAACAATATGTTTAGTATAGGCTGATGAAATTCTTTCTCCAGGTTATTTAAATGGTATTAAGCAATCACAGCTGGGAGCGCAGTCAATGGCTTTTACATGCGTACCCAAAGGCGAACCCAGGCTGCTATTGGCACAGCACTGCGCTGGGTTTGCTGTAGCTACAGTATGAACACAACACAGATGGGTATCTCTTTTAATCAATGTGTTATCTCTGCTCTACCCAGTGAGAACATGTGTCAGCAAACACACTCTGTTTTCTCTCTATAATAGTAACTATTTGCTCTTCTCCGGTCATTTGCACCAGGAAGAAAATAGCTTATTCCCAGGAGTGTGCTGGGGGCACTCACTGGGTAAATAGAGGTGGCTTGTTTGTTGAACATTAATTGTGTGCCCTGTGGCAGGTAAAAGAGTGAATGCCTGTCCAGAGTGATAAATGGGATTTGTGTGATATTACCTGCTTTGCACTCTGACACCACTCAGCTTTCCAGTAAGCCATCGTATCCCAACTGGCTGATTGGCACCGAGAAAGGTCAACCCAGAACTGTGAACTCGGTGATCTGCAGAGATTCACTTGGGCTCTATTAACTCGCCTCTGTATCTACTGCACAGTATGTCAGCGCGCAAATGCACGTTAATATTTCCTTCTGTGAGTGACATTGCCCTCACTGAGGCCACGAACGCTTCTTTTCACAGACAAGTTCCCATCAATCAGCAGGCCTGGCAGGTTTCGCTGGGCCAGTGGAACTGCAGTGAAAGCGTACGAGGCTTGCTAGAGCCCGAGAGGCCCCTTCGGTGGCATTCATCTGTAGGAAATTGTTTTCCGTGTCCTGCTTTATATCTGATGTTTTGAAAAATGAAAACCAATAATAAAAAAAAAAAACATTCAAAAGCAAAACATCCATAAATACTGTATGTGGGTTTTGGGTCCGGGGGAAATTTTTTGATTTCCTTCACTTCGTTTTTAACTTCTGTCCTTTTTAGAATGCGTATGTGTAAGAAGACAATGTACAGAAAAGTACATTTAAAAACAAATATGGTTGAATAGATGCAATTGGACCAAGCACGTTATTGGAATAGTACTGAGCGCCAAAAGAAACATACAATAGCAATCTGCAGCATATTTTGAGAAAAATAAAGCATATGGATTTTGGATGTTGATTAAATGTTTTGAGTGTCATTTTGATTAATTGATCATTCATGACCAAACATGACATACTTATCGGCCCCTCGTCTGTTGCATTAGCATTAAATCACCTCATTTAGTAAGAGAGCTGATTGGCCACAAGGGATAAAGAGGATTTAACCTCTTAATCCAGCCTAGTGCATTACACAAGTACAGGAAGCAGGCAAGCGTGGTGCACATTTTTTAGAATAATTTGCTGATTATTTTGTCCAACAGACCAATTAGTGGTGAGGTTCAAGCATGGTGAGAGTCTAGGTAGGAGTGTCTAGTTACTAAAGAGCTGACCACATGGCCCCATGTGGATCAAGTCCTGGGAGCTTGCTTGCTGCCCTGATCTCTATCCTAACATGACAACATTCCAACAGGACAACATGCTGCTCTTGCAATGATTATGTAACGGTTAATAAGCCATGGATGGCCAGCCTGAGCCCCTGAACGTTAATAGGATGACTTTGGATAAAGGGTCGAACACCCAAAACTCAACAACCAATGAACAGACACATGCATCACAGATCTACAGCCTATGTTCTTTCCAGCAGTGGCCACAAGCTATTAGCTTGTGACATTTGCAGTACACAACCTTTGATCAACCCTGTTGATGACAAATGTTAAACAGCATGTTGTGCACCTGCAGCAAAAATTGTCATTTGCTTTATAAATGTGAATTAATTGCATCTACAGTATAACTTGATAGTCTGTGTATTAAAACAAGAGCTCATAGAGTCTTGAAGAGTTCATAGAATGTTTAGGCAATATGGCCTTTTAGGTTCTTTTGTATTCATACCCTCTTCAGTGCATCATGTCAGGCCTAATGCAGATTGTTTACTTCTAAAGGGGCTTTGAGCTGGTGAATGTCCACTTGTTCCATGATGCCTCCAACCTCATCGCCTGTAACTCAAGCCCTTCAGTCTACTCTGCCAACAGGGAGAAGGCACTGAGATATGTCATCAACAGGTAACCAGACAAGTTGCAATCTGATGGCTGCTTGGGAACAAATATTTTATTCCTGAAGCAGGTCAACATAAGTAAATTATCACCGTAAGGAAAACATCTGTGTAAAATCTTTTGTTTGTTCTTTAAGCTAAATCTTTTTTATTAATTAAATACATTTGCAAACAGGCATATTATAATTCAGATCATACATGTTCCATGTCGTTTATTCAGTGATGCCATTTTAAAAATGCACCCCGACTGGCTTGGTTGCACACAATCTCTGGTGAGAGGCACAAGTATATTACCCATGTCAACTGTTGCAATGCTAATTCTTCAACCACAACTTCAGACAATTTTTTACAACTTTTTTTTGTTTCAGGGTATCAGACAGCAGCTATACTCCTCTCCCATTCTTCTTGTTTGGAGATTTCAATTTCAGACTGGATACACTCAGCCTGGTGCAGGTGCTGTTTTATGAATAAAACTGCATAGTTTAGTATGAATAAATTGGGCATGGTCTAAAGCCGCATCAGTAAAATTCTTTATTCCTGCATATATCATGTGGCAATGTTGCCACATCCTAAGTAAAGAGATTAGCTCAGACAGGTATTTGGAAGAAAGTGTTCTGTGCATTTGAACCACTCCTTCAGGCACGTTTTGGAGTGTCCGTTTGATGCCGTGAGGAAACACGAGGATCCTGGAACCTCACATGCTACCCTGGCAACCAAAATTGATGCAGAGGGAAAGAAAGCGAGGCCTGGTGTCAGCTTCCTTCTTAAAATGAACCTTAGAAACCTGTAACAGTATGAATTCAGTTTATCCAGTGCAAAAGAAAACTGTACTGTATTTGTGGATTACGGTAGGGATTTCCCAGTTAAATAATTGAGGGATAAGAACCGGTCTCTAAAATGAATCACCCTTATATACTGTATACAGTAGTGTATGTGAGAAAAATTGTCCATTCTATAGTGTATTTTTCCCCACAATGAAAGGCATGAATATCTTTCATATCTTAATATTAGACAATATTCTTCATTAAAGAAATGTTATTAAAGGTCTTCTGTCTAGAGGTTTAAGGTTTGTGAGATGTGCATACACTGTTTTGAAAGAAGATTATGCTGAGTCTTTGAGGTCTAGGCCCTGGTTAGGCTGCGGCTAATGACCTTGGCTCTTTTCAGACTCTGTCCAGGTCTGCTGATATTCAGACAGTGAAGAAGGATAGCAGCAACGAGGTGGAGAAGATCATCTGTGAAGAGAAGGACAATGACCATAAGGTAGAAGTTTCTGAGCCTCTGCAAAGGAAGCTTTCCTGACTTTCTGTTCATTTAAATTCATTTAAAAAGGTTTATCGGCACTCATTAAATTGGTTACTATGCTATTTAACTTGGCTCTGAATGAGTGGTATAGACCTACACTGACAAAGGTACTATATATGCTTACTGTATAACTCAAATCTCATTACATTCTTGATTTGTACTTTTGCAGTTGCCTTAGACTTGCAATTGAAGTTATGCTAAAGTATGTACAGTATGCAAGAATTACACTAAGATGGCTAAGATAAAGAGAAAATCTTTAACCCTTAAAGATCTAAACAAATTAAGCAATTAGCAAGCTGTGAAGTTTGAGGTTTTCTGTAAAGTAGTTCACAGTCTGCTTTAGGTGCATAGCATCAATATTGCAACAATAATTCCCATGTTCTGCTTTTCTTTCTGCTGCAGGTTCTTCTGCACATTGAGACAAAGCTGTTTGAGTACTTGCACCAGGCTGTCTTTAGAGAGGACAATGGCAGAGGAGTGAGTGGCTCACTAAAGACCTTAATGCTGATTTACAGCCTTGATCCAACACAAACCCACACAGCAGTTCTGACAGTCAGTCTACTCAGTCAATCCCCATGAGAAGTAAATGATCTGGTGCTGTCAGAGAATCATCAAGACAGAAGTGACCATGTGGATTTCACTGATTCTCTCAGTCAAATCATAATCAAGCACCTGGCATCAGACTGTTACAGTATGTCACCTATCTTGCTAGATTCCTGACTGAGCTGTTTCTTATAAACTACTGTCATTGTCATTAGGCTTTGTTTTTAAATTGAGAACTGAACACTGTTATCACTCCATCATTACAAAGATCACACTTCTAGACTAAAAGAGCAGCCTACACAATGTCAGCTATTCAAATAGGATATATTCTATTGGATTAATTTACCACTATTATAACCTTTTAATTCTTATTAAATTATTTATTTCTGATTTGTAGGTTGCATTGGTGTCAAATTTGTACAGACTCTGTAGATCCGACTTCCTAAGCTAATTTTCGTGATTTATTTTCCCCCAATGTTTCAGCTTTTAAAGTTTGATAAGGAGATCAGTGCCTTTCATGACGTCATCACAGAGGAAGACATTTTGTTTCCTCCAAGGTAAGCGCTGTTATGCTCTGTGTGGGAGATGGCTTCATTCCATTGACACAACAGAAGCCTTGGGAGGCTTCAGTGAGCCAGACCTTATCTACAACTTTAAGGACAGTTTTTAAGCATTGTGCTACAAGATGCCCAAAATAACCATTCTACAAAGCTTTTGATGGCCTTCATTAAAACACTTTTTTCTTAAATATGCAAATGTCTACAAAATCAGATTTGGCCATTTGCTTGGGTTCAGAAACATTGCCACTGTAAACATTGTAGCTGAGATTTTCAGATCTCAGAAGGTAAGCATGGCCTGGTCAGTACTGGTATGAGAACAACCTACGTGTTGTGGTGTTGGTGGACCAGTAGGTGGCGCTCATCCCCCTGAAACAGAATTTCCAAAACAATTCTCCATTATGATGACCAGGGATACTGGGCTGTAAGAAGTGCTGTGTTTCAAGTGAGACATTGATTCAATTGGCGATTTTACTTTCTCACTTCTCCACCTGATCTGTTGTGTTGTTAATCAATCATTTTGAAAGTGGATGAAGGATTAGAACCCTGCCCAAGCTCCTTAAAAAAAGTGTTTACATGGAGTTGTTCACAACCCCAATGAAACAACTTTCTTTTGGCTTTGCAGCTACCCCTACAGCGAAGACTACACTAAACCCACACAGTATATGAACACAAGATGCCCCTCCTGGTGCGACCGGATCCTCATGTCTCATTCAGCCAGTGACATCATACATAGGGTGAGTGGCAAATTTCATACAGCTTTATGAGACCCATGAGCTTCTGTGTAGTGGTTCTGGGTGATCTGTTACTGTGAGCCTATGAAAGACTACAGGGCTAGCTGAAACATGGAGGTCGAAACTTCTAACTAGTTTAAAAGGAGTGGAATTTGCAAGCCGTCAGTTGTTAATGGCATAAATAAAAGATTATATCGTAAGTCGCGCAATCCAAGTACCAGCACTTAGCTGAATGGATTTTGAAAAGTGTAGACCCTTCACTCTGTCCTTGAGAACTGGAACTGTGCAACTGAGAATTTTTTGCACTAACCGAGAGAGCTCTCATTGCGTCACATCTCGCCATTTACAAGGTCTATCCTCTAGCTCTTACATTGAGGCATTGGAGAGGCAACCTAGTGTTTAAGTAGAGCAGGGCTGCATCATGGCTACCCTGTCATCTGGATGGGCTCTTTCAAAGAGCCTGTCTCAATGTTAAGATTTTGTTGGAATAATCTGGCGAGTAGTTTTTTTTTTGTTTTAGAAAACAAAAAATACAATGTGTACTGTAGTTGAAAGAAGGTCAAGGGACCCGATATAATCCCCAAAGGCAGTGGACTTCTTCAAAATGAACAATGAAACACAAACTAGAGGACACAAGTGGAAACAATGTGGAAGTGCTTTTTATGGTGAGAATGGGATGCACTTCTTGTTCTAAAGAGGTGTGAGTGTTTAAGAAGCTACCCAACCACGTGATCAGAGTTGGCACTTTAGCTTCCTTCAAGAAATGGCTGGATTGAGGTCCTTGGATCCATAAGCTACTTAGTACCAAGCGGACCACATGGACTGAATGGCCTCTCATTTGTTGTCTGTCTTACTTTCTTCTGAAAGTCACATCTACATGAGTTTGCCATTTCTGTGCTTCTGCTCAGGTTCAGGATGGGGAAAGCAGTGTGGTCTACAACACCCTGGGGCCTAATGTCTGCATGGGGGACCACAAGGTAATGGTAGGCGGAGCGCTTAAATCATAAGCGATTTCATGATGTAAAACTGATTTAAGCTTTCAGGACATAATGCACCAAGTATCAGTTTGTGGTATGCTGTGCTAACACCACACAATTGTTGGAGTTGAAAACGACCTAATTGTTATGTGGCTTATCTTAAAACGGGGAAAAAAGAAATTGAATCATGGTTGTTACTGCAATGCTAATGTTTGATAAAAAGATTTTGTGCCATACTTTTGCTTACAACATTTTTCTTAGTAATATCTACTAATTGTTTTGCAAGTATTCCTGATTTTACATACAGTGGGGGAAACGTTTTTGATATAGGGTAAGAAAGTATAGGGCATAGCACTGTGGTTGTCAGGTGTTTCCATCTTCCTGTTGGTACTGTACAGAAGCTCTGCAGTTCTCACACTGTTTCTCCAAAGACTGAAGATCCTGCACTGTTTGCTGTGTCAGTCCAGGCAGCAGATTCTGACGCTTTCAATTTCTCTTTTTTCAGCCCGTTTTCTTATTTTTCACATTAAAAACAGATGGATACTGAAATGAAGCTCAACTCTCTTGATAGGTAAGATACAAGGAAGAGTGCCAGAATAGATTATCACCAAGCCTGGCTTATTTTTACAACCTATGTGTCTGTGCAAGTACGCTGGCAATCCAAAAAATGTCCAAATGAAAAAATAAATTAGTGGTGTCTGGATGCTACTGCCCTGGTGCATAATGTAATAGGGCCATCAGCAATTTCCTGAAATGTATGGATTGAATTCCCTCTGCCCCTGCAGAGAACTGCAGCTGGATCAAATGCAGTGTCATTGGAATGCACTCTGGGACTGTCCATTAATTAAGTGCAGCTTTACAGGTGATAGAAAATTCATTATGTGGTATAATGTATTGGCATATCTATTACTAATGCAGTGTTTGGTTTACTTTGGTTTACAGTTTTGCATTTAGGCACCCTAATTTATCAAAATTAAGGTGCTGTAGTATTTAAGAAATTTAATGGAATAAAAGTCCAGAGCTCTTCTAAAATATTGTAGGAGCTTAATACCAGTTTCATAAGACTGTAAATGCAATTTTGTATTGTATTCATAGTGCAGACACTTGCTACACTCTTCACAGTTATGAGTTATTCAGGATTCTGTTTAGGTCAAGAAGAGTGCGTCTTCAATAGTGGAACGAGTGACATGGGAGGTTTACTGAATAATAGTCAAAAAATTTTTTATAAATCGGCTACATTTACATTTATCTGGATAGTGCAGCAGGGTTGTTTTTTAAGGCTGTGGCCACCTGACTCACATGGGGATACAGCTCCAGCCATAAATTAGTATAATTATTTATCTTAGTATAAATTAGTGCTATGTATGTGTATGTACAGTAAGACATAGTTAACAAAATCTTTGTTGCTCAGACTAAAAACATCAGCCAAATTATTAATAACAATATTATATTAAATTACAAATGATTACATACAATATTATGTATTTCTTTTGGATCTGAATTGTCTTTAATCTACAGTGCTTTCTGAAGAGCAATTTCTCTGAAGGGGACTGTTTAATTGAATAAGAGTAATGGCTACAAGCACAAACAGCAACAGACACAAACAAGCAGTGTCAGATACCTTAGCCTTCTGCACTATCTAGGTTCAGACTCTCATGTTGTGTACAGTATGTTCAGCATAAGACTACATACCAAATAGAGGTACTGCTGTAAAAGCAAAGCTTAATGACCGTAGTTGATAAGAAATAGCTCAGTCAGGAATCTAGCAAGATAGGTGACATACTGTAACAGTTTGATGCAATCCTTTACGACACAGTATCTATATGAAGTTCTGAATATATTTAGTGCATAAAGACAAAGGTGATTTTAAATCTAAACCCTAGCCCAAAATGATGAATATTATTTAACCCCATGCATGAAACCCCATGATTATGTTGATGATTGGGCTAAAAGATCAGCCAGGGCTAATGTCCCTGTTGGGGGGAAAAAAAAATTCAGGTTGCAGTTTTTGTTCAAACTGAGCAAGGCATTGCTGGTGAATGCAACTGCAAAGAAAAAAGTTTTTCTACATTTTCAAGAGAAAAGGTCAACCTCGTGAGCAGACAATTCTTTGTCCGTTCAGCCTGAGAAGGTTCTGAAAATGATTAGGTTACAGATCAAATGCTAGAATGATTTCAGTTCTAACATTTTTATGCTGTAATTTAAAAATGAATCCTGCAGAAACATCTGCATACCCTTAATTTCCTGGAGGGCAAAACAACTGCCAGTGCCGTTTAGACTCCACTATTATCTGTTGTTGGTTACCAGTTTATCGCTTGTAAGACCCGTGTCTTCATATCCAGTGCCAGCAAGAGCTGTCAAAGAGAGACGCACCAGGAGAAGGGAAGACACAGGGAACAGCTACACCACAGGGAAAGTGTTTCACAAGTGACTCCTGTCTCCACAGCATCACCAAGAAAACCCGTTGGCTGGGATCCCATGGACATTTCTCAGGTTTTCTTTCTTTCTACAGAAGCACACACACTCCAGCAAGTTTTACCGTTATCCTGACATGAATGAAACAAGTTGGTCGGCTTTTTGGTGATGTTTTTTGATCTGTTGTTTTTTTTATGATTTTTTAAATTGTCAGGAGAAGGAAAATTGCAAGAAAAATGAAACACACCAGTAAGAAGCTGCTTAGACTGAGAAGTCAAGAAGCACTGATTGTCTAGCCTGTCCTGTCTGTGCAGCTACACTTACTGCTTTTGGTGTAATACAGTGTATCATTATCTGACTAAAGGTGTATACTATTAACAACAAATGTCACAGAGGGAAATTCAAATAATCATTTATGTATTCACTATATTAGGGCATGCAGTAATTCTATAGTCAAAGAGCATTACAATTTGACATGAAGATCTAACAAATATAAAATCCTGGCTTTCAGAAATATGGACCTTTCATTGAACCAGTAACTTTCCACTGTTTCATGGTTGACCACTGAGCCAGAATTTGGTGCAAGGCAGACGTTTCAGTGACCGATACTCTATCAACACTCAGACGGTTGTCACCATTAATTTGGATAAACAGCCAGGACTTGAAAACTGCTGCATATATCATGACACCTTGATGGAACGTGCAGACGTTAATTCTTTGGTGTGTTGGAAAGTAAACCAGAAACAAGGAAGGTGCCATTCTCATGTTTTATTTCTTTCACTTTCCCTGCTCCTCTTGTCTGCCACGTATTCCCGTTCTCTTCACAGCTGAGAAAGACTCCACAGGTGGAGTGTTTTACTCTTTTTCCACTTTTTAGCATGGAATGACCTTCTGCCCATACAGTTTAGACTTGCTTTCTGACAGAACTCCCTGCTCTAGTTGCATCTTAATGACTGTTGCACAAAACTTGTAAATGAGAAAATGGAGATGTTCTTATTTGTAGGAGCTTTAATTTTAAAAGACTAAGTTCCCCCCACCCTCCCAATTCCTGATTAGTGCTAGAGGTTCTGACTGTGTCCCAGGAGAGGAATTAGCGGGCTGATTACTTTGGGACCTGAGCTATAATTATAAAGCGTGTGCAAAAAAGGACTGTTAAGTGATGACATGAGCAATTTGCATGTGTATAATATGAAAGGCTTGCTGTATATTGCTATATTTTCAGGAGATTGAAAGCCAGAACTATGTGCAGAATTGTTTTTAGTTCCAAGTTCCTTCTGCAGTGGATTAGAGTGGAGTACAGCTGCACTCAAAGCTAAGTTTACATGGAGCACCACCATTATTAGCTGTTTCATTACACTTATTTCACTGGTATTATCTAGACTGCATTAACAATGATGTTGAATAGCATCTGCAAATACACACACTGCATGTCTCTAAGCTACTGTACATGGAGCCAAAATATTTAAACTCAAAAAGATTTCTTAGAGATCTTTCATTTTTATCAGTTTTTCTACCAGGAAGTTAGCTATTTTAATCTTTATTTTCATACTATACTGTATATACAATGTATGTTAAAGTTTGGGTGATTTTAATTGTGTTTCTTAGGACTTACACTATACCATTCTGGTTTAATGTAATGTGGAGTTTAATGTGATATATTGACATTTTTACAATTGCTCTTGAGCCCCAGGCCACTTAAAATTTCCCTCCCATTTCTGTCATGCTTAATTGCAACGGTGGATATTTTTTGGTCTTGGAAGACGCATGATTGGGAATTCATGTGATGTATTATAGTTAATTATTCCAGTAAAAAATAGCAGCATTTCCGATGAGAGCTGTCGATGTAGATGAGCAACAGAAAAGATTAATGTGCTAAAGGGAAAATATAAAGGACACTTTTTTAGTTCCTGCACTCAACATATGCTGTTTTTTTAAATCTTTGCATCTCCAGCAGTTTGAAATCACTTCTTTTGCAATCAGAGGAAGTATGAGAGTTGTCTTTTTTTTTTTTTTACACTGGACGCTGGTTTAATGCCATTTAGCCTGTTTTATGATCCTGTACAGTATGTGTTGTGTAATCTGGTAAAGAATTTACATCTTGGGTTTACTCTATTAGACTGAAAGGTGCATTGTTCTCATTTCATTTAGTGTCATTTCTGACATTTAATTGGGTTTTAACCTCTGCAGGATATGTGCAGCATTCTTGAGATTAATGTTTTAGTTTCTTATGAAAAAAGTTGCAACATAGTTGCTTTCTTGTTATTCTGTAGTGGATTGCATCAGTGCATGTACCTTAGTGAAGGGTGATGAGTGTATCTGGAAATTGAGTGGTTTGGTTTGCTGAGATATTTGTTTTTGGCTCATTCTAGGACCTTTTATGATTCTTACAATTGTAAGTGTTAATATGCAAGTCAGGAGCCCAGTTATGCAGTAGTTCTGATGACCTGGACAATAGTGCTGGGGAGCGAATAGTGAGGGACTGTTGTGGCCTCTCAACATTGTTTTAGTGGCTGGACTAGTGGTCAGTGACCTTGAAGTCAACAATTTCACAAGATGGGAAGCAATAGTAGAGTCAATCTCTTACTAAAAACACTACATTTATACTATTTAATCTGTTATAATATGTGCTGTGTTTGGAAATTTGTATTTGTCTGTTTACAGGGATTGTTGAAATATTTTAAATTGTTTTTTGAAGACTATCTTGACTTTTCCAAGTCCTTTTAAAAAGAACAAAGCCTAGATTAGCTGCATTCCATAGATAAGACCATTTATCCTTTACTGTTTTTCAACTCCATTGCACAACCTGCATGATTACCAAGTAAAGTAACAGCAAATCAGAATTTAGAAGAGTTCCTCTTACAATGAAGGCTTCTATAAATCTAAGAATACAGACCTGCCAAACATACATTTAAATATTGCAATATGGCACTTAACGGCTCAAAGAAGAATATCAGAAGTCTCTTTTTGAAATCTTAATCTTGCCTTTTAGAAGTTCTCATTTGAAACATTTTTTGAAAATAGGTCATCAACAATTGGGAACGGTTCTAAACCTTTTCTGACATGTCATTCCTACAATTGCTGTCCCCAATACTGTGATGACATATATTTTAAGCTTTGAATTATCGGTAAATGTGTCTGTTATAATATTTTAAAAAACATTTAGAAATCACTTCTCCGTCCTTACAATGGAGACAGCTGGTATTCCAGAAGAAAGCATCCTGTAGATCATAGTGTTTTGCACAGCAAAGTTAGACTTTGTCGATGGAGTAGGAATAAAATAAATGATGTATTAAACTTGCTACCACAAGCAAGTGGTAAATGTGATGGGGGGTTTTTTGGCTGTTGACGCTGGGCTAGTCATTTAGATCGATAGTGTTAAGAAAAAAGCTGAAATATGCATGTTTCAGAATCGGAGCCCTATGGCTATAAAATTTGAAAAGATGAATAGTTGTCTGATTTGGCTGGTGCAAGTCATCAGCCTTATCTGCATAAAGTGCAGATACACGGTGTGTACACAAAGTGAATTTTTTAGTGTCTTGGGCAAGTTACTGCTTTCCTCTGCCTAACTGCAAGTGTTCAGGAGAGCACAGGTGTGTTTTTTCAGCTCGAGAGCTTCCGCATCATGAAAGGAAAGCAGTCAGCCTGTGTGCATTTATTCTTATGTCGAAATCTTTTATGTTTTTATTTCAGGAAAATCCACTTTACATTGAGTTGGAAATACAGTAACTTGCAATTACCCAGCATTTAAACAGATCAAATCATTTTACATTTTGACTTGTAGGAGTGGGATTTAACTTTCTTCTTGTATATATTTGTACTGTAATTTGTCGTAAGACTGTGTTCATTAAATACTGTATTGATGCTGGATGTTTCTGTTTTTTTGTGTCTTTATGAAACCTGGTAGGCATCTTGGTTAATGATCATCTTCATCTTGATTGTTTCATGTACTGTAGATCTACTGTTATTTTCTATTTCTATACATTCACAAAGCTTTACTTGAGAAGCAACATGTTAGTTTAAGGGTTATGAACTATGTATATTAACTTGAGATCCATAATATTTAGTCAGAGTATCAGTAACCCTGCAATACAGTACATTATCAATACTGTACATTTCATATTACTAAAAAGCTTTACATTACACAGCAGTGTCAAATAGGTCTAAGAAATAGCACACCTTTACCAAGGAGCCTGAAAGTACTAGTTAATGACCTTCTAGAGTTGTAAATCTCAGATTTCCCTCCCCATACCACATTTACGCTGTGGTAGTCGACACATTACCAAAACCACTCCATATACAGTACAAGTCAAAATCAAAACTTGAAAAGTTTTAAACTGCAAATACATTTTTGCACAACATGCAAAAGCACAACATGCATTTTTTAAATACTGAAATTCTGATGTAGCCCTTAACACTTCCATCAGTCCTTTGGGATTTGAGAGCCCTAAGCGGCTCTTGGCTGTCAGTGTGGTTAATAACACCAGCTGTTCTGATGACCTGAACTGGTATCCTATACAAGCGCGATGGCCAATTGATTTAACATTAAGGATTAGAAACCTTTCACCTCTACCAGTGCAGAGTCAAGTTTATTACCTGTTCTACAGCATTCCCTTTTTCTTTCCAGCTAATGGTTCAATCCTAATGGGTCAGTGCTGCCATTTAATCAACAGCTCCCATTCAGCGTGGCTGTGATGTATGAGTGGTTCTTCATAACTGATCACTGTTGAGATCAATAGGCCCACACAGACAACTGGTCATTCCCATCTGTTCCTGAGTGACAGAGGAGTGGCAAGAGCTCAGCCTGAGAAACAAAGCAAGGGTTTGGACAGGGGGTTTGCAGTTGTGTTCTCTCTTTTTTTTTTTTCTTTTTTTTTACCAGGTACTGAAACCTCTTTTGGCCTCCCTGAAGAAATGGAGGTTACATGTGATTGGTTGCTCTAAACTGATGGCAGGGTGGGCTGTTTAAAAGTGGTCTGTTTGCAGTTACAGCCAGTACTGTTTATGGAACAACCAGACCAAAATGAGCCCTTTTGTCCAGATGATTTTTTTTTTGTCATTTACAGCTGTCCCAGGGAGCTCATAGGCACTTTCATAAGTCTTTCAGAAATAAAACTGTTCACATTACTGGAAGGGAATAAGCGCCAGATAGAAGAAGATTAAATGCAATACGAACAATTGAGGAGTTTGATATTGGTCACCTTCTTGAAACACATGAACTTGAAAGTTACAAATGAGAGAAGGTCATTTGGCCCATATAGCTTGTTTAATTGCCAGTAGGCAATTGATCGGAGAAACTCATCCAGCCAATGTTCGAAAAAAGCCAGGGTATCAGATTCAGCGATATGGCTTGGTACAGTAGCCTGTTCCAGACTTCCAGAACCTTTACTGAATTCACGGATTAATACAAAAACTGCCATACATTAAGAACACGATGACACCAGTATTTGATGTTATTGTGTGATGACATGATGTCACATGAAATCAAATCAGTACTTAATTTGGATGACGACATGTTTTCTATATTTAAATTTAATTTTTTAGGACAAATAGTCTTGTTTAATGATTTTGTGTGTGTTGCAAAAATCTGAATAAATCAGTTTAATAGACTTGCACACTATAGATGGAATCATTGTTGTTAATGGAATTTTTTTCCCATTTCTATATTGATGGAATTTTAGTATTATAGTATTATTTTGTAACTAGAAAATGACATTGATGTTGGAGTTATTCTGATTTTTTCTGCTCTTCTGAAAAACTAACCGCACTCACTCTATGCAGTAAGGCTCTCACTGAGATGCTGTACTGCAGGATTCTAATACAGCATCCTTCAACTGATGTCCTCTAGCTACAGTATGTAACAGAGGTCATCAACCCACTTTTTAAAATTATTACAGTTAAAAATCCTATGGGATAATCCAATGCTTATTGCAATATTTTTTTTCGAAGGTACGGCTTCTCATTCACTGTAAAAGAGTTCACATTGGATCTTGAGCTTTTCTCGCCAACACTAAGACATATCCCACTGTGCACTCGTCTTAACAAAGAATCCTGTTCGTTTCAGGAATATTTAGATTACGTTTGTGTGGCTAAATAGTCACAACCCTTGAATGTCACACACCCCAAGGGCACACAAGACTCCCATTTCACAGCAGATTCCAGCTTTAGAAGCTGACAAGGCTCATGATTATAAGCAAACAAATCTGTGCTCCACCCTTCCATGCTCGCTACCTTATTCTGACTACATTTGCAAAGCCGGAGTAATGTAAAATAAACTTTCCTATCTGATCGTCACTTCTGTTTGCACAAGAGCCTGCCTCCCACAAAACCCGAAGTGGATGCAGTCACTCCACAAGGGGGAGTCTTGTTTGATTTCCTGCTGGAAAAACCCCTCCTCTCTCAGCTGCTTTTTTTTTTTTTTTTACATGTTGAAGCAAAACAAGAATTCAGAAAAGGTGACCGAGCAATGCAGGAGTGACACTGTTACGGGCTGTGTTGCCTACTACTGAATGACACATTGAGAAGGAAAATGATGTGTGTTAAAGCAGTAAAGCAAACAAAAGGCAGATGTGCAGACAAATAAGACAAAGGAGAAACAGAAGTTATTCTAGAACATTAGGATCCAAATAGACAGTCAGAATCCGAAAGGCAGACAGCAACATGCAAAAGACAGAGATGATCGCAGACAGGTGCCGTTCAGCCTGAAAAACAAATTGACAGTCCGTGATTCAATGCAGCAGTCTTAAACACAAAGCACAACAGATACTTAAGCAGACGGATTGAAAGGTCTTAGATGGAGAACAGTATCACGAAGCGGGCAATTCTTTAAGAAACATCATCTTGTTGCAGAGCCTCACAGCATTTTCTCTGCATCCTTCATCTCAGGCCTACATAACAACAAGTCATCAAAAAGCAACTTATTCCCTCTCTGCCTTTTAAAAACCTATTAATCCACAGACATCCAATAAAAGGCTTGCCCTTCATTGGGTAGCCAATAAAAATGTGTGCTAGTGTGAGCCATAACCAATCCCTGTCCTGCATTCTAATGTTGCCCATCTTTATCAAGAAAGTGTCACCTCTCTTTAAGGTACTTCTTATTTATTGCCTCAGAGTTAAGTGCCAGGAAAGATATTTGTCTAAGGAACTGCTGTACCCTTCTCCTTGAGCTGCTTTAGCTAGCTCCTGATGTTTACCTTGGAATTAAAACACAATGGCAAGAAACAGGTAAGAAAAAAGAGCTACTCACATTTCTCTGTGTGCTGTCTGCTGAACGTACACCCCAGTTAAGGCACTGAACCGGTTTAAGATTTGGAGCTAGCTGTCTTGCAAGGAAGGGAATCGCTGGGCATTTGGACATTGTTAACCAAATAAATAAAGAGAGTGAAACCTGGAACCAGAAGGAGGAATCTTCAGGATCATTTGAACTTAATTCATCTTTTTCAGAAGAAAGCGAACTTTGTGCAGTAACCAAGTCTTTCCCCGTTTTATTTCGAAGAAGAAACAGAAGAACACAAACCTGGAGCTCAACGTTTTCAGATGGATCACAACATAGCAGGATCTTTCCTGTTTAACAACGGTCTGAACCAGTTTTCCTCGGACATCAAAGCTCCAATGTGCCAATACTCCGTGCAAAACTCATTCTACAAGTTCAACTCGGGCATCAACACCCAGCTGCAGGCGGGCACCCCTCATGGAATCAGCGACATTCTAAGCAGGCCGGTGGTGGGGGGCCCCAACACCACTATCCTCTCTGGCTACTCTCACGTGGGGGGGTTCGGTACAGTTGCCACCCCAGGGGTCTACTATAACCGGGACTACGGCCCTGCGCTGGGGGGCTATTCCAAACCGGGATCGGAGTGCCCGGTCAAGGGCAGGAATGGGAACTGCTGGGGCGATGGAGGCTACGAGTGGAGAGGCGCCAGGCAGCACTGCAGTAACAGTGAGTTTTCCGACTGGCAGCGAATCCCTTCTCCCTGCACAGCCCTGTCTTATTCTATTCACCCTTCATCCGCAGGTAACCGGTCGGGCATCAGTGAGTTCCATGGAGAGCAGTTAAAGGAAAAAAGGCGTCTCAATTAAAGCGTTGAAATTCAAGTGTCTGTGCTTATTATAGCAGCCATTTGTATCTTTTAGGAGATACATTTCTGGTAAATTCCCATTCTCTTTAAAAGAGCAGCCTTAATCGTTTCCAAACTGTAATGGGCAGGTATTATTAATAATCGTCTATAACCAACATTCTGCAGAATGAGAAGCGGAGAAGAAGTTGTATTGGTAAACTGAGGAGACGCATTCTGCAACAAAACGGAAGGCTATCACTTTCTTTTTAGAAAGTACTGAACCAAGACAAAATGCTGTGGAATGATAGAAAATGCCCTACTTAACTATCTATTTATTTTAGCATTTTATGGTAAAAAGACAGTGAGGTAGTGAGGGGTGCGATGAGATGTATATTCAACACTGACTATCACTAACTGCAGAAATGTCAGTGGGCTGGGTCCTGCTCCGCTGCAAAAAAACTGCTCTGAATCCTAAAACACTTGAGTTATTTTTCAAACACTAATGTTCAGGCAAATATAAAAAAATATCCTTTAAATTCCACTTTGCATTGCTGTTACTAGTGCAGATCTAACATGGCTTTTAGAAATATGTTCGCGTGGAGGACTGGATCAGTGTGTTGTCTTTTGAAAAATAAACGAGATCATTTGGAATATAGACCAACATAATTAAGAGTTGTACTCTTTTTTTTTACTGTTCAGCATTTTATAGATATGTATAGGAAAACAGGAAATTTCGGTATGGAGCAATTAAAAAAACCTTGTTTCTGCAAAACATAATCCTAATAATATGGAAACAGGAATGAGGGAAAGATCTCCAATAGGACGTATAGAGCTTTCCTGTTGTCATTATCTGCATGCAGCTTCTTTCTCAGTAGAAAATTTTATATTTTTTAGTAAATCAACCAGAGATTTTGATTAATCTGTTACTCTCAGTTATAGCAGCGTAAAAGCCTCAACAAAGAGTTACAGTGAAAAGTCTTTTTGGAAGTGGACAGAAAGAGCCTAATGTGAAGAACCGTAAATGTTATCATGTCTCTGAGTTGAGTCATTCAAAACAGTTAATAGAACAGTTTGAAACTTCATCGCAGAGATCATACAACAGATCAGAATTATAAACAGAACAAACAGGTAAATTGTGAGGTACAAGCCTAGGAGTCTGAGAATGTAGTGGGTTGTGCATATGCTGTACTCCAATGAATATAACTTCTCTATTTAATTTCTAAAAGAATTTGTCATAAATGTGCATTTTAGTCTTTTCAAAACTTCAGCCTATTGAAATCTTTGACCCTAATTTCAGAGCTATTAACTCAACTGTGCTCTAGCCCTGTCTTAACTCTAATACAAACACAATCCAGTAATTCATATTGTGCATTAATTTTATGACTGAAGGAAACTCAAGATCATAGTTTTCCCTTCCTTTATACTGTAACCAGTATTTCCAATACTAGTTACTGTATTTTGGAATTAAATCCACTTTATTCTCCTATAAATAATACCCTACATTGTATTTCTACCAATTAAACACAAACAGAAGAAAACTAAAATAAAGAGAATGATAACTGTACAGCTCTTGTAAAAGCAGTTCTGCAACTTGGTGACTCATTTGGATAATTTACAGTTTTGTTTTTAATATTTGGACAAAATACAAGTTAATATCAAATGTACAGTACGCTGTATTATGAGTGATGAGTGTGGGTATTGGATCTTTCACGGCGATGTAAAAAATCAGGGCTTGATTAGTGTAAGATCTGAACTTTGTCTTCAACAAGCGCTAAGGCTTGCTCTGTAGCTGCGTTGATGTGCTTTTTTTCTCAGACAGTGGGCACCTGGGCGAGTCAATGGGCAGGAAGAAGCACACACGACCAACCTTCAGTGGGCACCAGATCTTCGCTCTGGAGAAGACCTTTGAGCAGACCAAGTACCTGGCAGGCCCTGAGCGAGCCAGACTGGCATATTCCCTGGGCATGACCGAGTCGCAGGTGAAGGTAAACCTACAAAAGTAGTCCTTCTACAATCAGTACACGCAGCTTTTTTACATATCCACAGGCTGAGAACATAAAGAATAGGGCAGGGTATTTCATCTTACAGAACAGTTCGTTTCCCATTTTAAATCTATTAAAGCATATCAGACAGAAAAATCAAATAATTTACTTTTCATTTTGAAATTTCGATTGAAAGGTGATCCAACGCCCTTTCAAGGATTCAGGAAACATTCTCTTAAAATTGTGGTATATTGAAGTTATGATTTTTTCTCACTTATACTGAAGTGTAAGACAATTGGTTGTTTATTCAGGATTGTAAAGTCTAAATTCCGTTCTTCAGTCCTTTCTGAGATAGCTAATCTGTAATCACTTTAAAATTCTAAGAGTTTATAATACATTAAAAAGATACAATTTAAATTTATTTTAAAGCTTAGAATGTTTGCACACTGTGTGCAACTTCAACACTGCTATAAAACAGTGTAGATTTAGAGTAAAGGATTTATTGATGACTGGATTAAAATCCAGGCAGCTTCCCAGTACAAAAGCACACAACTCTGCAGTGGACACCCTTGTTGTGCAGACGTCAGATAACTCTGTTGTAGACACCCCTGATGCACAGATGTCAGATCTCTTTGTTGTAGACACCCCTGATGCACAGATGTCAGAGCTCTTGTTGTAGACACCATTGTTGCACAGTTGTCAGAGCTCTTGATGTAGACACCCCTGATGCG